ACTTTAGTTTTGATGCAAAAACGCATGATCGCACCGGCTCGCCTGGTGCGTTCCAGCCTTTGTATCGTTTTCGCAGCCGTCGTTTTCACCTATGTCGTCATTTTCGCCCTCGATAATACAAATTCGCAATGTTACTGGAATGCATCCACACACTATCAGAAACCAAGCCAAGTTTCGTTCCTTTTTTTCCCCCGTTTCTAACAACATTCATATGAAAGGAATTGAATTGAGTAACACTTTTGGTGCTTTCGTGAAGCACTTTACGTGTAATTTTTAAGAATTTTTGATTAAACTGACCTGAAGTCGTTGGCATTTTGAAGTAGACATTGGCATTATCAAATAGACATTGTAAAATTTCATTGAAAAATTGAGCTTGAAATAGGAAGCACTTGCATAAATGGCAGCATGTCGGGATTCCAACAAAAGATTGAACGATTACAAAAAACCTGAATTTTGGTATTTTTCGGAGCCAAATGATGATTCCTGGTCAGGAGAAAGATTCTGAATTGAAAAATTGCTGTATGCTCCTGTCTTTACTGCAGCTTACCGAAATGTAGCAACTTTTACAATTCAGTTTAATATTTTTTAGTCTTTTTTTAACAGCTCTCTAGCCAGATTTTTTGTTTTTTGCGGTAGCTTCTCCAATTTTCATTTTTCTTTTTCTCTGGTCATACTGGCTGGATGGGTTGCTGGTTTGGCTGTTTTGGATAGGCACGCCACTCCTGCGCTGCCCTGCTTCCAAACTGAGAGATAATAAAAGCAATAATAATCAGTAGGATAGCCTTAAAAAATATTGTTGTGCTGTTGAAGAAATGTTTTTTCGTGATCCAGGGAGTTGAGGTGTGGGTTGCAGGAGGACTGGCTGGAGTACGCCTGAACATGCTGGATGATTTAGCAATGGGCACCGGTACTATGCGTCAAGGCGCCTCATCCAGTGGGTGCGATTCTCCCAACGCTGACAATGTCACTGCTGATGTTTGTTTTTTTTTCCTCTTTTTCATAAAACTGAAATGCGTTAAATCGCACTCCTATGATTTTACTAAAATTGGTGGAAATTGGATTTGCTAATTTATGCGATAACTGGACTAAAATTGCGTTTGGAATTGAAGGGTAAAATTGGCCCGAAAATGGCAAAATTACCAAAATTTCCTAGAAATCTGTGTGAAGATCCAATGTTCTTGAAAATGCTGGAACGCATTAATGCGTCGTACTAATTTAACGCCACAGCGTACCATTTTAAGCTTCCAAATAATGTCCAATTGATCGAAAGTGTGATTACGCTTTTCGTTGTATTGCCGCTCATTTTTGGAAAAGTTGGCTGATTTCTTGAACTTTTTTAAAGTGAAAAATTTGTCAAAAACTTAAGGCCGCTTAGTGTATCTTGAATCTCAGTAACATCGAGAACTTCACATCATAAGACGAAGAGACGTTGACGATCTCGGTGTTGTTTGACAAATAGTCTTAGTGGCCTTCCCAAGATTTGTGGATGAAGAAGCAAGAATGTTGTGCAAATCGCGCACCCGTTTAATCAATCCTCAAAAACTTGAGAAAGAAATTTTATTAAAAAAAAAGGAATGTTTTCTCGTTTTTTTTAGTTTCGTTTTTTATTAAAATTTGTTTTTACTGTTGCAAAAATTTACAGCTCCATACTGTTCATTTAGTAACTTTTTTTTATATACTTACTAATAATTTTTGCTTAAATTTTGTTTAAGCATATCTTTTTTTTTTGTTCACGTATTTGCTGTACTGATTTGCTTTTGATATATCATCATTGCATGGAATATCGCCCATTTCATTGTGTTTCAGGAGGCTCGGCGCCGTCAGAAAACGTGTCGTGTATGCGGTGACCATGCAACGGGTTATAATTTTAACGTGATCACATGCGAATCCTGCAAGGCGTTCTTTAGAAGAAATGCTCTTAGACCGAAGGTTAGCTGCTGCTACTACTCTAACTTTGTGCTTAGCGTCAAGTAACATAGGAAATTTTCAAAAACCGTTAACTTTACGCTCTGTAAATAACTAACTGCTCCCCTTCTAATAACTACACGGTGTTTACTCGCTCTTTCAATTTCTCGAACATCTGAGGTATCACGACGCGTAGCAGTTGTCGGTAAACGCCCTGCCGTAAGATTTTTGCTTCAAAAAAAAACAAAATTTTTTTCAGTGCATGCTTATTTTATTATAACTTAACGGTTTTTATGTGTTTTGTGCTGTGTAACAGCGTTACAAAACGCATATTGTCACGGGGTTGTCTGTGTGTGTGTGTGTGTGTTTGTGTGTGTGTCCCACATTTTTTCCTGCACTTTCGACTTGGAAACCACAAAAGCTAGGCGGCTGAAATTTTGGTATAATGTTCCCCGCCAACTGGTGACGCGATAAATTTAAACCCAGCCTTCCTGTGTCCGCGGATAACACGTACGGCTCCGTGAAAGTTTTTTTACGCGGATAACACGGTGAATTAATATCTCAAGAACCACGGAGTCTAGGAGGCTGAAATTTTAGGGTAATGACCCACTGCCCACGCTTAACCTTGCACATTTAAATTCAGCCTTCTCGTACCCGCGGACAACACGTACGGCCCCGTGAAATTTTTTTTACGGGTAAATTAATATCTCAGGAGCCACGGAATTTAGGAGGCTGGGATTTTAGGATATTGACCCCCTGCCCACGCTCAACCTTGCCCATTCAATTTCAGCGTTCCCGCGCCCTCGGTGTCACCTACAGGCTAGTGAAAGTTTTTACTGGTAAATTATTATCTCGAGAACTAGGGGGTCTAGGAAGCTGAAATTTTAGGGTAATGACCCCATGCTCACGCTCAACCTTGCCCATTCAAATTCAGCTTTCCCGTACCCGCGAGTAACACGTGCGGCCCCGTGAGATTTTTTTACGGGTAAATTAATATCTCAGAAACCACGGAGTTTAGGAGGCTGGAATTTTTGGGTAATAACCCCTTGCCTACGCTCAACCTTGCCTATTCAAATTCAGATTCCCTCGCTGTTGAGTATCACCTACGGCCTCGTGAGAATTTCGGCGGTTAGACTATTAATTCGGGAATCAGGGAAAGATATTCACCTTTCAAGGTTTCGATTTAGCTTTCATGCGCTGGTTCGTGAAATTTTTAACTATTTTCCAATTGTTGAACTATTTTTGCGTAGGCAAAAGTACAAAATAGTGAAAATCATTAATAGACAATCGTTCGATGGGCTGGATTGCACAAAACGCATGATCGCACCGGCCAGTCTGGTGCGCGTTGCTGTTTATTTTTTTTGAAACAATGATATCAAGGAAATTACATGGGCCGTTTTTACAGGAATTCAAATGTCCGTATTCCGATGACTGTGACATCAATTCAGTGAGCCGTCGATTTTGTCAGAAATGTCGTCTGCGGAAGTGTTTCGCTGTAAGTTTTATTGTTTTCCAGTTAAAAAATAAATGTTTAAACTTCTTCGTTGAGCAACACACTTTAGATACTTTATTTCTAGATTCTTCTTATATATTTGTTATATGTTATTCTTCCGCCACTTGCGATTTTGAACTTTGCTTATTATTCCCACCTTTAGTATTATTCTAAAAATTATGCTTTATTATAAAATTTTATGATTTGATTTACGCTTATGATAATTTGATTTGTATTTAATCGAATTGGACAGCGTAACGTAAAGCAGCTTGTTTGCGTTAGTCTGCAATGTAGCACATTTAAACTTCAAACAGAGCACCCATGAGTTCCAGGTTCACTGCGATAGTTTCGTCGGAAGACGCATAAATGAGGTTTTTGCAGGTTGGCATGAAAAAGGAATGGATTTTAAATGAGGAACAGCTGAGGCGGCGGAAAAATTCCCGTTTAAATCACCTCCAGCAACAGCAGCAGCAGCAACAGCAACCGCAAAATCGAGGTGCATCGAATAGCAGCGGAAGAAGCTCAGGCGGAGGTGACGGAGGAGGTCCAGCAACCAGCAGTACTGGAGCTAGCAAACTCGCAACGCCAATGAGTATAACTACCTCGAGTCAGCCGAGCACTGCAGCAACCGCGATCACACCACGTATTTCTCCATCTATTTGTTGTGCATTTTGTGTTGTGTAACAGCGTTACAAAACGCATATTGTCACGGGGTTGTCTGTGTGTGTGTGTGTGTCTTTGTGTGTATGTCCCATATTTGTCTCGCACTTTCAACTCGGGAACCACAAAAGCTAGGCGGCTGAAATTTTGGTATAGTGTTCCCCGCCAGCGGATGACGCGGCAAATTTAAATTCAGCCTTCCTGTACCCGCGGGTAACTCGTACGACCCCGTGAAAGTTTTTCACGGGTAAATCAATATCTCGGGAACCACGGAGTCTAGGAGGCTGAAATTTTAGAGTAATGACCCCCTGCCCACACTTAACCTTGCCCATTCAAATTCAGTGTTCCCATGCTCTCGGGTATCACCTACGGGGTAGTGAAAGTTTTTACGGGTAAACTATTATCTCCGGAACCACGAGGTCTAGGAAGCTGGAATTTTAGGGTAATAACTCCCTGCCCATGCTCAACCTTGCCTGTTCAAATTCAGCGTTCCCTCGCTGTTGAGTATCACTTATGACCTCGTGAGAATTTGGCGGCTAAACTATTAACTAGGGAATCACGGAAAGACATTCACCCTTCAAGGTTTCGAATTCAGCTTTCGTGCGCTAGTGCGTGAAATTTTTAACTATTTTCCAATTTTTGAACTATTTTTGCATAAACAAAAGTATAATTTTGAAAATCATTAATAGTCAATCGTTCGATGGGCTGAATTGCACAAAACGCATGATTGCACCGGCTAGTCTGGTGCGCGTTACTATTTATTACTAATTAGAAGGGCAAGAAAGGAGATTTCACGGAAAAAGAAGCAATATCGCTCCGTACAGAGTCCCCGATGCTTTCGGAATGCAACATCATGGCTTGATTCTCGCTGTGGACACCGTCCATAGTATTGAATTCAGCAGTGTATCTATGTCAGACTCTCTTGGAACTGACTGCATTGAATGTTCCTGTCCCCGATTTATGTGGCTTGGATAGCGGATCGAAGGAAAACTTTCTAATTACAAAATATTACATAAATCAGCCTCTTCAAATAAACGGTATCACTCGGTTAAAAAAGAAACCAAGGGTACTGAGCAGAACAGCTGGACGGTTATTGTGAATATACCTTTTTAGTAATATTACTAGGATGTTTCCAAAGTGCCAGGCCTTTAATCAGCATCTTCAGTTAGCATCCACAGCCTGTTCGATATTGTGCGCCATTTCAACGGGAGCTGCTGAAATTTTCATCTAGTTTCTCACTAGTACCAGTCACTAATGCGCGACGTCCAGCGATTGTCGGCAAGGCAAATAACATGGCCTGCCTGTCGGATTTTACTTTCTTACATGGTTGTAGTGACATCCTGCACGTCCCTCATCTGACAAGGAATCTAATTATTTATGCTGTCATAATGAGATACACCAAGCATCCTTCGTTCTAACAAGAAACATTTGCCAGTAATGCCAAAAGATGGAAAATGCAAAATTTCTGATGATTTAAATAAAAAGGTCAGAGTATTCACAACTTTTTTGAGAAGGATTTTAAAAGCGAGGTATTGACCTCATTTTTGCAAAATTTCAGCGAGCATGCTCAGCCCGGCACAAATCCGAAGGGACTCCGATCCAACACTTGTCAGTCCTTCAGTTGTTCACGCGGTTTGTGCTGTTGCTTCCTCATCTTCTTACTTTTAAATTAGCTATGAATGATGTGATGTGGTGTTGTGTATAGGCCCTCAGAGTCATTGTGCTCATCGCGCTGTTTTCGAGAAAAAAAGACCATTCCACACCTTGCTGCAAAAAACTGAATGCACAAGTGCAACTTGGAAAATTTCCTTCATTTTTCTTCTCTTTGAAATTCTCCATATATTGGTACTGATGAGTTTTCCCATTACTTCCGCAAATCGCCTAGGAATGTGGTATTCAAGTATGTGGAACTCAGATCATTCCTAGTTTGCTCCCGTTTCGCCCAGAACCCGTAGGAAAAAGCCACCGGCCTCGATGTTTAGTTGCTACTAAAGCAGAAACAATTTTCTTGTCCTAGTCGCAGTTGGGAGTGCCTTTGCTTTTTTCAGGCACGGTACCATGAAAGTCTCGCTCTTGGTCCTAAAAAAATTCACAAATTATAGGATAATTTTGCTCCTTGATTTTGAAAAATTGGAAAATACAAGGAATTTTATTTTAGATGTTGAGTCCAACCAATTCTACTGTCTCACCCACAGTATTATCGTC